ATCCGCGTTACAGCGCAGAGGAATGTTCGTTGTTGTTTTATTTACGGATAATATTGGCTATTGCATCTTTAATTACGGTAGTATTTTTAATTAGATGATAAATTTTGAAATGTATGAAAAAGTCTATTTTGGGTGAAAGTCTGTATTTGTACATGAAAAACAAAATTTTACCCAATCAAACAAAATATTAGTGAGTTTGACGATCGTATATATATTATAATCAGTTGAATGTATGTTGTATGTTGTTGGAAAAGGATTTGTGCGCTGTAGATTGATACATATTCTTTTTTTTTTTGGTAATAAGTAGTATTACATATTCTTTGAAATTACAATCCCGTAAAGTGTAGTCTTTTAACAAAAAAAAATGATGTAGAATCCCGTGACATTAGTATCAGATAACATTTAAGGAATGTGCTTAAATATTTTTTTGTTATTGGGTCCGAAATTAATGGGATATGGTTATTGCCTTTACATTGCTTTTAACTGCGATTATGGTTATTGCCTTAGTTATTGCTTTAATATTCATACGTCTTTAATGTAAATTTCGGTTTAATAGTAAGCAATAATCTAGGCAATGGATCTCACCCGAACCCGGAAGATGATTTTGAGTTAAGTTGGCTCATTTGAGTTAGCTTTTTATTTGATGACAAAAAAAAAGGATCTCACCCGAACCCATTAATATATCCAACTTTTAAAGATCCAATTAGAAATTTCGGGTAATTTTTTCAATTTAACCCAACCCGGAAGATGATTTTGTACTCCTCTAGTAAAAGAGAAATACAAAATAGAATACGGGTCGGGTAAAAATTAAAAAATTAACCCGATTTTAACAATTGGATAGTTCAAAATTGGATACTAAAATGGGTTTGGATACATACATCGGATACTTTCCATATCTAATTTTAAGATTATATTATTTCTATAACTAATTTTATGATTTCCTAATATTTCTCTAACTAATTTAATATAATATATTAAAAACAATTATCATTCTTCTTTGAAATTTATTTGATATTATTTTAAAATTTATGATATTATACTATATAATAAAAAATTTTAATAAATTTTTTTTTTGCATATGTTGCAATTTGAATTTTTCAAAACAAACATATAATACTCAACTACATTTGCTTAAATATTCTGGACAATGATTTAAAATCAGTATGACCAATATTAAAACAATTGTTACATGAGCATATTTAAAAGTTTTAAAAGTTTCAAAAGATTATAATTGAAAGGTTCAAATATAAAAATAAATTAGAATTTAAAATATTAAAAATATTTTTTTGAGACATAATTATTATTGATAATATATATTATATATCAAACTATGTAAATTTTAGATAGTTCACGGGTAGTTTGTTAAAATCACAATTATAATGGTAAAGCGAGTTATGAATAACGGTTTTCACAAAATGAATTATGTCACGAGTTGATACTTCATAAAAAATATTGTAAATATGTAATTTTTACGTATATTTCTACTTGTACTAAAAAAATGGTCAATTGAATAATTTTTTTTTCGTGATGTTAACTTTTCACTGTTTTTTTAATTGTATCAAAACTCAATGTATTATTATTTATTCACCTTTTCGTTTATTATTTTATTTAAACTTATTATACAAATATATAATTCACTGTAGTACATTGCAATA